TGAAATAGCGTTGACTTGGTTTTAGATAATTTTATCAATATATTGTCGAAGTATATTTTAAAAAATCTAGTATGTTCTTTAATACATAACAGTAGTTACATACTGTCACTAGATAAATTGACATTTGTCAATCATTTATAACAAACGGTACCTAATGACAATGATTATAATCCTGATATATAAAAATTATAACTAACATATGCATGGTTCTGTATAAAAAATATATTTATTAAATATATGGATAGTTTTCTTGTTTCTTATTTTAAGTAGTCATAGGTAGACATAATATAAATCCAAATAAAGAAAGGAATATTACCTAAACCTACTTATTTAGCGTTGATTGTTTGTTTTTGACTTTCATAATATAATTAATTGTCATAAAGTAATAAGAAATGATCTCCTCGTTTTACTGTTATCAATAAATTATCACTATCTATAAAATCTTAAAATAAAAGTATAAATAAACAATCTGGTACAATTATAAAGTTGTTAGAAACACAAGACTGAACAAGAAAAGAAATTTAATCTGTAAAGAAGAACGGCGATTCGTAAGTGCACAAATTATGAAAATCAATTTTACTTTTTGATTTATTATTAATTTTGTCATCAATTATTTAGTTTTCACACTGAATGAGATTCTAAAAAAAATTAACCTTAATATCCAATTTACATAACTCTCTTATAAAGTCTCTAGACTACATTAGATACAAGTTATTAATGGACATTATAATTATTAAAACATGTTAAATATTATTATTTTACTATTTGACACAATATAACGTTCATAATACCACAGATTTCTTCATTTATACATACTAACACACCACATTCTTCTCTTAGTATTTTTTTAATATTTATTAATTATTTCATGATGATTCTGTTATATAGAGATTGTTTTTAATTCATATTAAAAATAATAACTTGGGAAATGTTGGTTATCTAGAAGGTACAGCGGTATAATGGGTATATATTATTACTTGAGTTTATAATCATCTGCTGATGATGCTAACATCGTTAGCGAAACGCGCGTCCAGTGTAAAAGTAAAAGTGTTTTGGTGTATTGTGGTGATTTAGTGTAATTTTATTTTTATTTTGATATATTATTAGTCACAAAAAGCCGGTCTTTTATATTTCCTTGCTTTGACACATATTATTATGCATACCCAAGTAGCATTTTCACGACTTGCGACCACATGTTTACTAAACACAACGTTGGATTAGTTACAAAAAATAGTTAGCTCCCTACCTTGGGTATTAAAATAAATTTAAACGTTTTTATAACGTTGTGCCGACGTTGGACTAGTACTACAGCAAAGTAGAAGCTTCTGCGACGTCGAATAAACGTTGTCTTGTAACCTTTTTGCTTAAGTGATCTTTAGGTGATTCGGACAACGTAGTTACAACGTTGGACAATATAGAGTTTTCCGACGTCAGTTTCAGGACCTATTCCAACGTTATGCAAACGTCGTCTGTTTTACTAATTCCAACGTTGTTTAGATTTCCTTATTCTTACGTTGGTAGGATGTCGAGTCACTACCTTTTTGCAACTGTATTGAACCTTAAATCTTAAATTTTCACTTCATTGTTCTGTTCAGTCATACAGTTCAGTGCTGTTTTTGTTTTTATAAAAAAAACTTAATTAAAATGGGACATAAGAAAGGTACATATAAAACTAAATTTAAATATACATCGACATATATTACCGATAGTTTATCCACTCCCTCGTTTATTTAGATTATAGAGGGCGGCACAAGCTAGACTCTAGGATGACTAAATTAGGCAATCTTGCGACTAGTATACTACCTGTTAAGGCCGAACTGCGACTTTATTAGTCCAGTATGCGACTACTCGAACTACTCCATCTTAATCTCCAAAACAACAAAGTGAAACCCGCCATGTTGTTAAATAAAAAAATGTTTCGTTCCTAAAATAGCAATTCCTGCTTTTTGAATACATTAACTTGAAATATTTGAACCTAAAAAACACGCGGAAACAATTTTTTCGACTACGAATAAATTATTCTCATTTTACTAAAAAAAAATTCAAGAAAATTTCTTAAAACTTCTTTAATTTTAAGGCCCATTAGTATTTTTCAAAGTAGAAACAATACATTTATCAATAAAGTTGTTTGCGTTTAACTTTTTTGCCTTGGGTAACGAGTTACAGAGTCGGTTAAAGTGTTTCAATAATTATGATCTTCAAACATCCTCCACACTTAAATACTTTTGTTTTGTTTTCCTTCACTGCCATCTGACATATGTCTCTAACTAAATCATAAAAATAATATTTCTACTATAATTATCCCAATTTAGGATAAAACGCGACTTAGACGCCATATTAGTTTTGTATTTCTGTGAATTAGGATTTTAAACAACGTTGCAGTTTGTACTAAATTAGGCTTCTAGCCAACGTCGGTATCCAACGTCGTTTCGACCCAAAAATTATTCTCCAAACTAGTGCAGACTAGGGTTGGCACGAGGTTGTGCCGACGTTGCGCCCCGACGTTTGGTCGCGTGACACAACGTTGTCCCGACGTCCAAATGCTGCTTGGGTATTCAACATGGTTTAAATGCAATCTAGTATATGAGTAAACTAAACACTTTCAAGATACAACATTTTGTTAAGCAATTACAAAAAGAAGATATTAAGTTCTTAATAGATTGATTCATACAATACAGTTGTCAACAAATATTGTAAACAATAACTTGTTTGTTTACTTGTTTCCGTTGTTGTCTCAAGGTATATTACATTGATGAAAAGTTATGTTAATCATTCTGAAGTACATTGGTTAAATTAATTCAGTCATGTAATTCGAAATTATGTTTTTTTTTCATTAATAATTATTAGAAAGTTACAGTTAGATTTTGATGATGCTATTATTAAGCTTTATGCTTGGTACTGACAACCTATTCGTTATGAAACGATTCTAGAAGAAATATTGGAAGAATTCTTTTTCAGATATTTATATCTAATCAAATAACAAATAAATCAAACTGCATTATAGAGATTTGGTCAGAAATTACTAGGATTTATTATAGTAATATTACTTTATTATATTTAGTTGTTCTGACACCTAATCAATAAATTCGGAGACTTTCAGTAGTCTATAATTGTACCTAATTAAAATTTAGTTGTGCAGTCTTGTGACTGCTTACTATTATATTCATAGACTTTAGTTCACACACATAGGAAACACTCTGATGAGTGTGAATGCAAATTTGCGACACCAAGCAGATGAAAAAAATAGTTATTTATGTATCAAGGGAATAATAAGAGCGTTAACTACCGAAGGCAAAGTTTCTGTCCCGATGGACAATAATTGCCTAATTAACGCTTTATAATTCCCGCGGTAGATAATTTTATTTCTTACTGAATTTAGTATATTTTGTTCTATTTTAAAACGACATAAGCTTTGCATTTATTAATATTCCGGTATATTTGTATTAAAGCTGCTGGTAGAAACTTTGTTTATTGCCAGGTATCTATTGTAATTAAATGACCTGTTCAATAAATTTACGGTTGTTGTAAATCGAGTTCAGTTTTTGTCAAAACAAACGCCTTTAGCACGAATTCGGCACACGTTCGAGTAAGTTTCCATTAAAATGGAGGAAATATTAAAAAAAGCTGAAGAAGCACGACAAGCGTTACTTCGATCTAAAAGTGAATCAATTTACCAAAAGGAATATAACAAATTCCTTCAGTGGTTGGGACAGAAAAATTTTGCAGCAGAGGAAGTCAATGAAACTGTTCTTTTGTAAACTTATTATCTGTGATATTAATGATGTTTACAGTTAGGGGTTGAAACCTTTGGAGTTACACAGCAAAATAAAACACTAAATGACAACAATACACCAAAACACTTTACTATTTTTACACTTTTTTTGTTTCTACACCAAGTGTTTTGGTGTATTGTGGTGATTTAGTGTTTTATTTTGTCTAAGGAACTTAACTCATCAACCTCTAGAATGGTCTATTATGCCCTTTTTGAGTCGCATCTTCGTTATGCCCTTCCATTCTGGGGTACTTGCTGCGCGACAAAATTTGATCGTATTTTCAAACTTCAAAAGAGAGCAGTTCGATACTTATTGGGACTAAACAGTAGAACTCTCTGCCAGAATTTTTTTAAAAATTTCAAAATACTGACTCTTCCTTCCTTATTCATTTTTGAATCCGTTTACTTAATCCGCAAGCACATATTCTCTATTCCGGAAAGGCCTTCTCACAACTATCCACTTAGGAATGCGGAGCACGATATTTATCTGCCAACCCCGAGCTCAGAACTAGTTAAGGGCTCAATACTGTACAATGCCAAGAAAATGTACAATCATTTGCCTTCGAATATCAAGTCACTTTCATTCTTTCCCGCATTTCGCAAAGCTCTGAAATCATACTTACTGAGAGAGCCCTATGTGCGGTAAACGACTTTTTGTTGATGTTTAATCATGAACAATTTAGAATTTTAATTTTAATATTTTGATCATCTCACACACTGGTTAAAGGTCTAGTATTTAATATTTTATAACTCTTGATTTTATGTTATTATAACATGATTTTATCCATTTACAGTTTTCCTTTTGTAAAATTTTCTAGATACGCCTGTGTTCTGCAATGTCCATATATGTTTTATTTGTAATTTTATGACGTAAATTTTTTTTTTTGAATTGATTTGTATTGTATGACATTTTTTGTATTATTTGTATATTTATTTTTGTGCTTTTTTTGTTTTGCTTTGTCGATGAAGCTGTTTTGGCTTTTTGTACAATAAAGCGTTGTTTTTTTTTGTTGATTAATGATGTAAATAAATTTAATTTCATGGTCGTTACCTATAAAAGGTTGGGAAGCTTATAAAATTCAGTAAGAAATACACAATTTTTATCATTTACTGACGATATCGGGTATAATGAATAACATGTACTATTTCTATACCGAAATATAGATTTTGATCCAGTATTTCTTTGTATTTAACAAGTATCCAATCAAAATGAAATATCGTCACTCACCACTGGACTGTCGTCTCTCAAATCCCCTTCGCGTTCCTGCGGGTCCATTTCCATAGCGTACACGGGCACTGGGTCTCTATTTTTGACGCGAATTTTGCCAACAAAGAGCGCAGAATGCGCTGAACGCACCCCGCACAGTGCACAAACAGTCCCCAATCAAACTCAAATCCTCCCGCGCGACGCACTGTCTCCCGGCACAACAACAACAATCCCTGTCTATTCAATCACAAACAACGAACTCGGCGCACAAAATTCGAGGTTACGTCTCTACTACCGGTCTACTACGATATACCCAGTCACAGCGTGGCCGAATAATGTCACGATTCGTATCGTATCGGCCGAGCGCGCGGAGCGTGCCGAGCGCGATACCGCTCAATCCCCCACCACCGTGCAAGTCTGATCGACTCGCCGGCGGACCAATGGGATCGCCAGGAGGAGTCTGGCTAAGTGGAGAGGGGTGGATCTTAAGCCGGCACCGTGTGTAATAATACGTTTTTATTGCATACATTATCCAATCGGTCGGCGTCGCATACAATGTCGATTAGTCGAGGTGAATTTCGGTCGGATTTTACGTGTGGGATATTATATTGGCGTCTCTTTTTAATTTATGGACTTTATTTTACGGTTTTCGTTACGAAGGTGCAACTTAATCACAATAAACCTCGATTCCGGACGAAACAATGGTGTTATCGTGCGCGTTCGGGGGGGAAACGTCGGCATATAGAACCGGTTTTATTGTGACAGGCGATGGTTTTAAACCGACGCATCGAGAAAATGCAATTAAATCGATGGCCGTTCTGCACTAAATATAGCTTGCCGGCTGGAAGTCATAAAAATATTACTTCTTTCTCATGTAATTAAATATATTTTTTAGTAATAAAATTTTTATTTTTATATTAACGTCAACAACAAGTATATTTTTGTATCGGTCTGTTCCTCTACGACCTTCTAAGATCTATTGTGGTCCTCTTCTGATCTCTAGGTTACATTCTCCAGTCCTAGCCTTTTCAAAAACTATCAATTTGGAGACTGAACCCTCCATAGCTTCTTGTCATTGTCTAATGTAAAGAACCACACATTTGCCCTACAGACTGTTCCCATTGGTGTAACTACAGGGATGCCCGGGGGTGCCGGCTCCCCTCTAGGTACTGCTGGGCACTTCCCAGAAAAATCTTGAACTATGACTCTTGCATGGTTACGTATTAATTTTTATTTGCTTGTGATGTATTAAAAATGACGTTTTCTAGTTTTGTTTAGTGTTTAGTGTTTAAAATATGTTAATTTTTGTTTTTTAAAAAATTTGTAGGTATTTAAGTAATCTACGGGAACACGGTTTGATAACCAAGTCTATAAAATTTATAAACAGAGAAATTCATGTAAACGTTTTATTCAGAAAATGTGTTTTTTAAAACTATTCTTCAATTAAAAAAAAAGCCTAGGCACCCCCTGGGCTCAACTCAAAAAATGAATAAAATGAAAAATATACGAAATAATATACATGTACTGATTTCTTTCGAAAATCGACAACTATGAAAATATGATCCCTTCGCTGACACAAAAGGTACAATGTGAGACAGGAAATTATAGAGAGAAACAAGCCCTATAACATAGGATACAACATTTTAATGAACAGTTCTTTCCATAAAATGAATAAAATGAAAAATATACGAAATAATATACATGGTATTGATTTCTTTCGAAAATCGACAACTATGAAAATATGATCCCTTCCGTGACACAAACGGTACATTGTGAGACAGGAAATTGTAGAGAGAAACAAGCCCTATAACATAGGATACAACATTTTAATGAACAGTTCTTTCCATAAAATGAATAAAATGAGAAATAAAAGAAATAATATACATTACATGTACTGATTTCTTTCGAAAATCGACAACTATTAGAATATGATCCCTTCCCTGACACAAACGGGACATTGTGAGACAGGAAATTGTAGAGAGAAACAAGCCCTATAACATAGGATACAACATTTTAATGAACAGTGCTCAGTGCTTTCCATAAAATGAAAAATATACGAAATAATATACATGGTACTAATTTCTTTCGAAAATCGACAACTATGAAAATATGATCCCTTCCCTGACACAAACGCTACATTGTGAGACAGGAAATTGTAGAGAGAAACAAGCCCTATAACATAGGATACAACATTTTAATGAACAGTGCTTTCCATAAAATGAATAAAATGAAAAATATACGAAATAATATACATGGTACTGATTTCTTTCTAAAATCGACAACTATGAAAATATGATCCCTTCCCTGACACAAACGGTATATTGTGAGACAGGAAATTGTAGAGAGAAACAAGCCCTATAACATAGGATACAACATTTTAATGAACAGTGCTTTCCATAAAATCAATAAAATGAAAAATATACGAAATAAAATACATGTACTGATTTCTTTCGAAAATCGACAACTATGAAACTATGATCCCTTCCCCGACACAAACGGTACATTGTGAGACAGCAAATTGTAGAGAGAAACAAGCCACATAGGATACAACATTTTAATGAACAGTGCTTTCCATAAAATCAATAAAATGAAAAATATACGAAATAAAATACATGTACTGATTTCTTTCGAAAATCGACAACTATGAAACTATGATCCCTTCCCCGACACAAACGGTACATTGTGAGACAGCAAATTGTAGAGAGAAACAAGCCACATAGGATACAACATTTTAATGAACAGTGCTTTCCATAAAATCAATAAAATGAAAAATATACGAAATAAAATACATGTACTGATTTCTTTCGAAAATCGACAACTATGAAACTATGATCCCTTCCCCGACACAAACGGTACATTGTGAGACAGCAAATTGTAGAGAGAAACAAGCCACATAGGATACAACATTTTAATGAACAGTGCTTTCCATAAAATCAATAAAATGAAAAATATACGAAATAAAATACATGTACTGATTTCTTTCGAAAATCGACAACTATGAAACTATGATCCCTTCCCCGACACAAACGGTACATTGTGAGACAGCAAATTGTAGAGAGAAACAAGCCACATAGGATACAACATTTTAATGAACAGTGCTTTCCATAAAATCAATAAAATGAAAAATATACGAAATCAAGTATATTTTAATAATTAATTATTATATTAATTAATTATTAGAAATTTTGAAAATTTTTATGAGAACTACGTTTCAATTAATTTAAAAATTCATGCAAATTGTCCATTACCTAAGTATACTGGATTTCGGCCGGTGATGTAATATAGAAGGCGCAACCCCGCGCGAAAGGGATCAGATGAAACTCCTGTCTCTGTTCTGGAATCTGGATACGCGCCATCTACTACGATAGTCAGAAAAGGAGAGAAAGAGAGAGATGGTGGGAGAATACGAGCGTCCGTTTTTGTATCCGGAATTCTGTAATTTGGTTTGGTTTGAGCCGCTGATTGATAGTTGTGCTTGTCACCGCGGAAACGATATAGAGAAATTTCCATTAATTTCCTTCTGAAGGAAAGTTCGATGGCGGTTTTGCATCGTTTTTTACGCGGAATGAAAAACAGATCGGTCGTCTTAAATGAGTTTGGGTGGAAAGTTTGTCTGTAATGTTCTGGAATTGGTTTTTGACTCGGTTTTTGAATATCCTTATATTACACTGAACCAAAAGTCGACATAAATATAATGAAAAAGTTCATTAATATAATGAATTAAATCATTAATTTATTTGAGCCGATGAACGATTTCATTATATTGATGAAATTAGATTCATACTATTAATAAATCAGGCATCGATCTATGATTAACAAATCATTAATATAATGAAAAAAATCATTGTCCCAATGAAAGAACAGTTAATAATCAATGTTCATTAATATTATGAACAATATCTTATTCAATCAAGAATATTCAAAAATAATCGTTGATTATTAGATATATTTTCTTCTTTAGATGAATCTCAATACTGAAAACTATTTGATAAAGAATTGAATAAAGAATTTGATGAAAAAATTGAATACTGAGAATTTGAATAAGATGAAGACTTGGTATTTTTGAAATTTTTGCATAAATAATGTTATTTAAAATATTTATAGCACACCCATGAATTGCTTTTTAACAGATAATTTTATTTCCCCCCTTTCAGATGCCCCGTAGCTTACAGAACGGATAGGCGTACCATAGATAATGTTTTTTAGTTAGTAGATACAACATTGTTAACAATTTCCAGATACAGAAAAGTTAGAATGAGCAACTTTCAATTAAAACAAAGAGCCATCCATGGTTGTTACTATACCATACTTAGATCTATGGAGCTACAGTATTTTAGTATTCTTTGAGTAAAAAGAGAGTGACCGCACAAGAGAATAGAGTAGATTAGAGAGAAGATTCAGGTAACAGAAGTCATCTGCAGCATTAAATCTTTTAAATGGCAATGGGCTAATCACCTAGCAAATAGGACTTAAAAAATGGACCAATAAATTAAACAACAGTTATAGATAGAGTTACCTGGGAAGTATGATAAGACTAAGACGGCGCTTTATCTAAGATGGGATTACTACAATCATGGAGGAACAATGTATCTTCAAACAGCACAAAAAATGAAAAAACAATGCACGAAAATGTAAGAAGGATATGCAATTGAGAACATTACCTTAGCCTTGGTAGGTATCGAGAAACAATTTTCACAAGGGGAACGAAAAGGCAAAATTGTGACAAAAATTTTAAAAAAAGTAAACACACAATAAATTGTTGATTTAAAAAAAGTTTTTTTTAATACAAAAATGTTTCTGGTGGACCCAAAGTTAACTCATTTAAATTTGGTATTCCATGCCCAAAACCAGAGCTATATCTCTGGTTTTGGAAAAATTGGTTTTGGGCATGGAACACCAAATTTTAACATCGAAACTCTACCAGCCGCCGCTAGTTCGAAGTATTCGCATTTTCCAAGTATTAAATATTTACTATATTAAAGTGCAGTAAATTCTTTTCAAACAAAAATAAAAAATTTTCACGTATATAAATTAGTAGAAAAATATAAATAGCAATTTATTCTAAATTTTCGACGTTTTCATGCGCGTAAAATATATAATTTAGTTAGATACCCTTTCCAGATTAGGTACCTATCATTCTAAAATCAGAAAACAAGTTCAAGGCCTTTTCTAATTTTAAACCTTTTTATCATAGCGTATATAATGTTTTAGTTTGTTTATCTATCCTACTAACGTTTACAACAAAAAACGTGGATTACTGAATGGTGAAATAAAGGTTCAATGCCAATGACATTGTGTGTTACAATTACAAAAAACA